TATAGATAGATAGATAGATAGATAGATAGATAGATAGATAGATAGATAGAAACTCTTTTGAAACATTTAATATCTCCGTCATCTTTGTCGATTTATGTAGGCTGTATTGCACATGACTTCACTTATTCGTGACCTTGCATTTAAAATATAGCATTTACAAAAATAGAATAATTAGAGTTACTAAAATATGACACATGCAGTATTAATGTTAGTGAAGATGAACAAATATTCTTCTATGTACCGCGCCCCTTCAGGGAATGGGCGATCATGGCTCTCCAAAATTTCTTGTCTTTGTGACCCTCACCAGTTTTTCTCCCATTGCTAAATCTTACGCTCTTAGTTCCGCCATCCATTCACATATGCTTTTCAGGTGGATGGTTCCTGGCGTTCTTCTGTCTTTCTTGCCTTAAATACGCCATGTGATGGTTATGGTTTCCGAGCCTTCTTTCCTCATATGTCCAAGATGTTTCAGCTGTAGCTTTCTGATATTGAGAATAAAGGTTCTGTTTCTCAATTTCAATTTATTTAAGACTTCTTTGTTAACTCTCATTATTTCTTCGTCTCTAAAAAGTATGCCCGGCATTCACTTCCACACTGTTAGATTGTTATGACATGGAAATCCAGCACTCTGTTTTAAACGATTTTTTTCTGTTTCGCAGCAATTTGCTTAACTCTTGTAAGACAAAAATCAAATTTACTCAGAGCGAAAGTCATATTTTGTCGGTAGGTGCGACGTGTTCGTCAGTTGGTAAAAAAAATCTAAAAAAAATTCGGTTATATTTAATAAAACATCTTAGCTAAATTTTTAAGGGGAAAATGGTTCAGTTCGAAATTCCTTTAGGGTTAACATGATCCATAACCACTTAAGGAAGGCCGGTTGGCACAATCAACGATCATAGCATCAAATATGACGAAATTAATTTGAATTTCAATAATGGATATAACGTTAAACTCTTTAAAAAAAAATCTCAAAGATTAAAGAAAAACACCACATCCGGCACGGACACGCCAAGATAATGAAATGTCGTAAAACCATCTGACATTCAATATAAAGTCTCCAAATCTCCTTCGGGACGGTGGGGTAATGGATATAGGAGCTGGTTTAAACTTGAATCAAGTAGTGAAACAATATACTCTGGTTTGGGATGGCTATTTACAAAGCGTAGCTTAAATGTGGCACAAGTCCGAAAATAGGGAACACCCGCTGAGGATCGAACTCACTATTCAGTCGTAATTGATCTAGCGAGAGAAGATTAGTAATCATTACACCACATCGAAGTGCCACTTACTTAGCGTAGGTTAGATGTGGAACAAAGCCAAAAGTATGGGGCACCCAGTGAGGTCCGAATTCACGATTCAGTTGTAATTGATTGAGCTATGCAAGATTGATCTACACTAAACCACGTCGGAGTGCCTCAAAGATTTTCTAAGCGTAGATTAGAGGTAGCCCAAATGCCCAAAATAATGGGTACCCAGTGAGGATCGAACTCGCGATTCAGACATAAATTATCTAGCTAGACAAGCTTGTTAACCACCACACCATATTGACGTGCCCAAAAGTTTTTCTAAGCGTAGATTAGATGTGGCGCAAGACGAACGTATGGGGCACTCAATAAGGATTGAACTTACTATTCAGTCGTAATTGATCTTGCAAGAAACGCTTGCTAAGTATTACACCACTTTGAATTGCCTATACACTGGTTTCGTAAACGAACGAACAAGAAATAGCATCACAATGACGAAATAACACAATCATCAACAGATAAATCTTATCAGCTAAATAAAACAAAATAGACACCTGTAGATAGCAACTGGATACTTGTTCGAAACGTACATCTATCATAATCATGATTAGAACAATAGTTTGAATAAATTAAAATATAAAATGGTAAACGACATTTTTCATTTCTAATTGATAATGTATTCTGGGCACGTGGCCGTGTTGTTAGAACGTTCGCATTCTATGAAAATCCCACCATTGTCGATTTGTGAGGAAGGAGACTTCCTGATGTTATGGGGCTGAAGGGGTCGTTCCCAGAGTGAGGCACCTTTGGAAAGCATACCACGGTTGACCCAAGCCTTGTGAGTAAAATTGGGTAGACGGAACCCAGTCTCAAGTCATCACGGCCAAGAGCTTGAGGGTGCTGGCCTTGTTCAAATTGTAGATCACGCAAGATAATGTAACTACGGTCTGCTCGGCATAGTTGCAGTATAAACCACAGGTGGACCTTTGGGTGATGAATAAATACAAATGCGCGTGAGCAAGCGTCTGCAATTGGGATTAGATAGTAAACGGGTATCCTCGAATACGAGTGGCCAGCTATACTTACATACATACATACATACATATTATGGAAGCAAAATCATACACTTTATTATGGAAGTCTCGATGGAGGCCTCGTAAACCGGATCTGAACTTAATGATTTGTATTCCCTTTGCTTTAAATCCCTTCATCTAACCGCCTAATGGCTTGTATAATTTTGACCGCCAATTATGTAATGAAAATGCACTCGCTAAAATGGTGTCTATGTGAAATGTGTTGGGAATTAAGTGGAGTTGAAGACTGTGTTCTTGAAAGCTGCAATCGTGCTATGATCATTGAACCTTTGAACCTTTGAAAACACATCCAAACGGCGAGACAATTACAAAAATTACGCGTGAAAAACTGGCTCTATATTTTAACGCGTCGCTAAAACTTATTGCTTTCACCTTTCCAATGTTATGAAGTCCATTTTAGCTCCAAAGGGCTAAACGCTTGACTTGACTGAACGCAATAACGGTCAACATTTTTTTTATTAAGAAGCCTATCTTGAGTTCCTTTAATTCCGCCATTTTTTTTTATACCTTATTCATTCCGTTCTTTCTTTCTATCGTGCCTCGATCATTCTGCTCGTACTTCTTTCCAATTGCATTTACTTCCTCTTTCATTTTGGTTACATCAGCTTTCTTTATTCACTACTCGCCTCTTTTTTTTTCCTACGATACATGTTTTTTTTTTAAACTTTTTTATTCTATTTTCACTTTCTCTACATATTATATGAATATTTATTAGCTTGGAACTGGTGTGATTGAAAACGAGGAGACTATTAAGAAACAAGAAAACTTCGTTAGAAACAAAACAAAGAGTGTTGAAATAAAATGTAATATCAATATTCCTTTATCCCTTTGAATATGGACAATTTCCTCACGGAAGAGAATTGATTGACTCATTTTCTATGGCTTATCAACACTTTTCAAGTTATTTAAAGCCAGGCAACTTGGGTAGGACGATAAAATACATCCGACAGCAAAACCACTGATCGGAATGTTTCGGAGGAGGAGGGCATGGAATCATCTCTTAAATGCTATTGTTCTCAGGTCCACTCTTATTAGGAGTGGTAGCGTCTGTTAGGGTCTCAGATATGGGCAAATAGTTAACCCCCGAATTGGGGTCAAAACTCTATGAATGTATAAAAATAGATTTTTATAGTAAAAATAACAGCGATACATATTCATAGTTAAAAAAAAATAGATTTTTGAAGAAAAATAAAAAATTACCAGTAATACTTTTTTTTGTAAAAGAAATTACTAATACTCACAATAAAATTAAATGTGGTTGATATGCCGCTAAACAAACAAACAAACAAATTTAAATCTAGAAAATATTTTTACTTTGTTTGAATTAATTTTTCTTTTGGAAGATAATAAGTATTTAAAGATCTTACTAATTAACCCATAGCTGGGGGAGGAAAAGTGGGTTCATACCTATCCGAAGAGTATTTACGAGTAAATGAATATTACGAACCCAATGTAAAGTGGAAGTCGGCTATCCAATAAACAATTCTGAGCCATTATCTATTACAACACCCGCACACCCACATCTGGTTTTCTCAAGCGGTTAACCAGGCTCGACGTTCCTAAACTTCGGTGATCGTAAGAGAGCCGGTGTTTCAACGTCAGGAAATATGGAGGAAAGAAGACTTAGGGCTGAGAGCTAGAAACTATAAGAATTATGTGGAATCAGTTATAATTGTACAAAATTTCAAATGATTTATGTAATATCACTAAAAATCTCAATTTCGTGCGAAAAAAACGGTCATTAAGAAATCGACTTTTCTATGCAAAAGACAGGCTCCAAATTCATTTTTTTTACATTAGCCTGTATTAACCAATCAGCGAAGTCAAACAAAATTCTTCTCGTTTTTTAAGTCGATTATACAACACTAAAATCATGTGAACGAACATATGTAAAAAAAAAAACGATCCTAGTAGTAGTAATGTTATTGTTGAATTGTTTCTTTTTTCATAATAAATATTGTTTACAAACGCCTGATAATTATCCACCAACCCAATATATATTTTTTCTGTTACAGTTGGTGTGTTAACCTTAGTTTATAACAACGCCACAATTTTGGTACTCTCTGTCAGAATCAAACTCATTCCCCTCTATTAATAGAGAACCAAACACTCGCTATTTCCTCACCCATTAAACTTAACTGTTAATAATATTTTTTATCCTCTGTAGCCATTTTTTCTTCTTTTTCTTAACGTCATCTTTCATTCATTCGTTACTTCTTTCTTTCATGATTTCAATTACTTTCTATTCTCATTGCTTTTCTCTCTTTTTTTTCATCTTTCCTCAGTTATGTACTTATTGACATCTATTTCCCTTCCTGTCTTTAATTCAGCTTTTGCTCAAGGTGTAAAGTTTTATTTCAATACTCCGCTGGGGCGTTGTTCTTAAAACTATATTTTCTTTCCTTTATTGGGTTTTCTACTTTATTTTTTTCCTTTCTTTCTTTCTTTCTTTCTTTCTTTCTTTTTCTTTCTTTCTTTCTTTCTTTCTTCTTCTTCTTCGAAAACTTTTTTTTTTATCTTCACGCTTCTTTTTTTTTTTCGAAGATTTAAATTTTCGTTTCACATACCCACTCTCATTTGTTTGTTAATTCTTTACTTTTCCATGATTCATTCTTAATTCATTTCCGTTCAATTTTCGTTCATTTCCGTTCCACATCTTGCTTTGTTATATTCTGCTTTCCATAAACCTGCCTCCTTTCTTTCTTTCTTTCTTTCTTTCTTTCTTTCTTTCTTTCTTTCTTTCTTTCTTTCTTTCTTTCTTCCTTTCTTTCTTTCTTTCTTTCTTTTTTTCTTTCTTTCTTCCTTTCTTTCTTTCTTCCTTCCTTTCTTTCTTTCTTTCTTTCTTTCTTTCTTTCTTTCTTTCTTTCTTTCCACCCCTATGTCTCGTTTTATGTGTTTTGTCTGCTTTTTATTCCAATACCTTCTTTTATAAATTATTTCAGCATTTCTTTCTATCTTGGCTCTGAAGTTATTACTATTATTGGTAATTCATTATTATTTTTCTACTTCCTACGTTCACTTTTACTTCTATTTAATTTTTAATTTCGTTTTTAAGAAAGAAAGAAAGGGAGCTGTTTCCAAAAAAGAAAAATAAATTACCTTTTTAAAACATCTTGCTTCTTTCTTTCGTTCTTTCTTTCTTTATTTATTTATTTCTGTCTTGTTTTGTTTTTAGTTTTTTCTCTTCATTTTGTTTCCACCCGTTTCTCTCGTTTTATGTGTTTTGTCGTCTTCCTTTCCACTACCTTCTTTTATAAATCATTTCCGCATTTCTTTCTTTCTTGATTCCGAAATGATTACTATTATTAGTAACTTATCATTTTTTCTACATACTACGTTCAGTTTTGCATCTATTTAATTTTGAATTTCGTTTTTAAGAAAGAAAGTTGTTTTTAAGAAGAAAAGTAAATTACCTTTTTAAAACAGCTTCTTTCTTTCTTTCTTTCTTTCTTTCTTTTTTCTTTCTTTCTTTCTTTTTTCTTTCTTTCTTTCTTTCTACAAGCACCCATTTTTCCTTTTTACTTCTTAGTGTACCGTACTTTGTTATTTTTTCTTTCTTTCTTTCTTTCTTTCTTTTTTCTTTCCCTTTTCTCCCTTCTCCTCTCTCTTTCTTTTCTCTGCTCTTCCTTTTTCTCATATTTTCTTTCTTTCTTTCTTTCTTTCTTTCTTTCTTTCTTTCTTTCTTTCTTTCTTTCTTTCACATCCTCCTGTTCAGTTTTCCTTCAATTTGTCAAATTTCCGGGATTTTTTTTGCTTTTTCTTCCCCACACATTTTTCTTCCCGACATCTTTCTCTATAAAATGTTCCACTGTTTTTTGCATTTCTTTCCGCTGCTTCCTATCAATCCTTCTTTCTTTCTTTTTCAATGTATTTATTTGTCTCTTCCCTTACTCACAGAAATAGTTTTTTTTACCCCACCCAGTTTATCTCATTTTATATTTCATCTTCCACTGACTTTTTTTCCATTATTTTTTCGTTTTTTCTTTCTCATTTTACTAACTTTTTACTTCTTTCTATCACACCTTCACCTTTATTTCCCTTTTTTTCTTTTATATTTTTTTCTTTTATTGTTTCATATTTTTCCTTCTTTCTTTAATTTTTTCCTTGATTTTTTAAAATTTATTCCCTGATTTCTTCTTAACATTTTTTTCTCTTTCTTCAGCGCTTCTTTTTTCTCTTTCATTATTTTGACAGTTTTCCTTTTCTTCTTCTTTCTTTTATTAATAGAAATCTTATAAATCTGTTTTTTTTTTTGCATTTATGTATTTTTTCTTCCCCCCATTGTCTGTTCGCCCTCCTTTATTTATTTATTTATTTATTTATTTATTTCTTCATTCCTTCCTTTCTTATTTTCTTTCTTTCTTTCTTTCTTTTCTTCTTTCTTTATTTCTTTCTTTCCTTCTTTCTTTCTTTCTTCCTTTCTTCATTCCTTCCTTTCTTATTTTCTTTCTTTCTTTCTTTCTTTCCTTCTTTCTTTCTTTCTTTCTTTCCTTCTTTCTTTCTTTTCTTATTTTCTTTCTTTCTTTCTTTCCTTCTTTCTTTCTTTCTTTCTTTCCTTCTTTCTTTCTTTCTTTCTTTCTTTCCTTCTTTCTTTCTTTCTTTCTTCATTCCTTCCTTTCTTATTTTCTTTCTTTCTTTCTTTCCTTCCTTCTTTCTTTCTTTCTTTCCTTCTTTCTTTCTTTCTTTCTTTCTTTCTTCATTCCTTCCTTTCTTATTTTCTTTCTTTCTTTCTTTTATTTCTTTCTTTCTTTCTTTCATTCTGTCTTTCTTTCCTTCTTTCTTTCTTTCTTTCTTTCTTTCCTTCCTTCTTTCTTTCTTTTTTTCTTTCCTTCTTTCCTTTTTTCTTCATTCCTTGCTTTCTTATTTTCTTTCTTTCCTTCTTTCTTTCTTTCTTTCTTTCTTTCTTTCTTTCTTTCTTTTGTTTCCTACGTTTATTCAGTATGGATGCCCCTTATTATCTTTCTACTATTCATTTATTTATTACACGAGTCTCTTCTTCATTTTAGGCTTTCTTTATTTCACACATATAATCTTTGACGTTCTTTGATTCTTTATTCTTTCATTCTTTATTCTTTCATTCTTTTGCATTTTTATTCCTTCTTCCATTTTCTAATTGATTTCATATTTATTCTTATTTCTTGTTCGTACTTCATTCATTCAATATTAATTTTATTCAATAATAATTATTATTACTCATTTAATATTTCATTGTTTCGTTTTACATTGTTTCGTTTTACATTTATTTATCCTTTTTTTACATCATTCATATTATCCCGTCTATTTCCTTTCTATTTAGTCGAATTCTGTCGGCTTACAGCCATAGATTTAATTTTCATTCATAATTTAATCTATTTTCCGTTTTATTTCGTCATGTATTCTTCATCATTTTACATTGTTTTCGTTCACACACTAATTTTATTATCCTTTATATTTCTATATTTCTTTTTTTCATTTTCCCTTATATTTCTATATATACCTTAATTCTTTGGAGAATCTGTTTTTGATATTTCTAGATGTCTTTAAGTGACGCCAAAAGTGTTTACATCTTTTGTTTTTGTTTTCCTGCGCCGAGTTTTGTCACCATGATTAATTCTTCTTTCTTTCATCACCTTTGTTTTTTTTTCTTCTTCTTTTCTATTTCATTCTTTTCCATCTTTGCTTCATTCCTTCTATTTTCGTTCTTTCTTCTTCCTATCTTACATCAGTCTTTCTTCCACTATCACTTCTATCCCGTCTTCCCTTTTCTTCCTTCCTTCTTCAATGTATTCTTTTTCTTTCTCTCTTTTCTTTTATCGTCACTTCTTTTCGTTTCGTTCTTTCTTTCGACATATTCTTCTTTCATTCTTTTTTATTTTATCTCTTTCACTTCTGATGTCCTTCCTTCTTATCATCTTCTTCTCTTCCTTACTGTGACATTTTCCCTTTCGTTTCTCTCTGTCCTGTTATTTTTTTTTCTTTTCTTCTCATATATCTTCATTCTTTATTTTATTCCATATATTTATTCTTTCTTTCTATTCATCTGTAGTTTCTACTTTCGTTCATTCTTTTCATCATCTCTCATTTTTTCTTCCCCCTCCCAAATTCATACTTGAGATCTTTCTGTCATGTTACTTCCTTCTTTTCTATATCTCTACTCTGTTTATTTCTCGCGTTCGTTCGTTTTTTCCTTCTTTCATACTATTTTTCTTGCTATTCTTTCTTTTTTTCTTTCTTTTTTCTTTTCATTTTTTTCCTAGTTTCTATTTTCCCTCCAGCATACCTTACTTGTGATTTTTCTTTCTTTCTTTCTTTCTTTCTTTCTTTCTTTCTTTCTTTCTTTCTTTCTTTCTTTCTTTCTTTCCTGTTGTTTTTTCTTCTTTTTAGTTTTCTCCTTCTTTCTATTTTCCCTCCAGCATACCTTACTTGTGATTTTTCTTTCTTTCTTTCTTTCTTTCTTTCTTTCTTTCTTTCGTTCTTTCTTTCTTTCCTGTTTTTTTCTTCTTTTTAGTTTTCTCCTTCTTTCTATTTTCCCTCCAGCATACCTTACTTGTGATTTTTCTTTCTTTCTTTCTTTCTTTCTTTCTTTCTTTCTTTCTTTCTTTATTTATTTCTTTCTTTCTTTCCTGTTGTTTTTTCTTCTTTTTAGTTTTCTCCTTCTTTCTATTTTGCCTCCAGCTTAACTATTTGTGATTTTTCTTTTTTTTTCCTGCCTTCTTTCCACCCTTCATTTATGTTTGTGTCTTCTTTTCTTTCTTTCTTTCTTTCTTTTTCGTTTTCCTTAAACCGCCCTACCTGCTATGTTCTTCTTTCTTTTTTTTTCTTTCTTTCTTTCTTTCTTTCTTTCTTTCTTTCTTTTCTTTTTTCTTTATTTCTTTCTTTCTTTCCTGTTGTTTTTTCTTCTTTTTAGTTTTCTCCTTCTTTCTATTTTGCCTCCAGCTTAACTATTTGTGATTTTTCTTTTTTTTTTCCTGCCTTCTTTCCACCCTTCATTTATGTTTGTGTCTTCTTTTCTTTCTTTCTTTCTTTCTTTTTCGTTTTCCTTAAACCGCCCTACCTGCTATGTTCTTCTTTCTTTTTTTTTCTTTCTTTCTTTCTTTCTTTCTTTCTTTCTTTCTTTCTTTCTTTCTTTCTTTCTTTCTTCTTTCATGTTTTTTCTTTCCTGTTGTTCTTTCCTTCCTTGTTTTATATATTCTCCTTTTATTTTTCTTTCTTTTTTCTTTCCTTCCTTCCTTCCTTTCTTTCTTTCTCTTTCTTTCTTTCTTTTTTTTATTCTTTTACTTTCCTTATTTCTATTTTCCTTCATCACTTCCTACATTGCTATTTTCTTTCTTTTCCTTCCTTCCTTCTTTCCTTCCTATATATATTTCCTTCTTTTCTGTTGTTCTTTCTTTCCTTCTTTTTAATTTTTCCTCTTCTTTCTATTTTTCCTCCAGCCTTATAACTTATGATTTTTCATTCTTTTTCCTTCAGTCCTTCATATTTTTCTCTCTTTTTTTGCCCTTCCTTTTGTATCCGAAATACTTTCTACCACGCCTGACTCATATCTGAAATTAATCAAACGCCCTCGTCTCTATAATAAGCTGCCGTCCAATCAGGCATGCATCTTTTATCCCCATTTTTAGGATCCATTTTTCCAGCCGCGCGTCCATTCATGGCTCATCGTTTCGCCCGGACGAAGCGAAGTGCTTTTATTGCCTACCGAATAACATTACGGCTTTGTCCCCGACACCATATCCCTCGTCTGTTTGGCATCATTGATCTTAATGAAAAAAAAAGAAGAGGAAACAAAAATGCCGAAGAATCACATTCCGATTTCACCCTCCGATAACTAATTTGCAACTTATTTCAAAGCTGTTTCGTTTTATAATTTGATTCCCCAGCCACCGTAAAAAAAAAAATAAGGACAAACATAAAAGTATGCACTTGCCTGGTTGAGTTTATATTTGCGTATTTTCGAGTTGATTTTCACCTGTCTGTGCGCATTTCTTTCTCTTGGTTGCTACCTGTGTGTATGCGTGCGTTGAGCTTCTTTTTTTTTCTAAGAGAGGACTAGAAAAAAGATGATAAAATCTTCTTCTTCCAATCTTCCATGTTGGGCAGGCCAGTCTCCTTTGAAAGTCAGCAATCAATGGCCTGCTTTTTGCACTTGGCCTCGGACGCCGATCACGATAGTTTCTCTATTTGAATAGTTCCCCATCTCTTTGTGCGCATTTGTTCTCTTTTGTCTTCTCTTTATTTGAGTAAGGTTTTGCCGTATGCACGCGTGTATGAGTCGAGTAGATCGACCCATAGTGTGGCGCCTAAAAGTTATTAATATAAATGATCGGCAAACTGGATGATAGGATGTCAAAAAATTAATTATTGAATGAAATATCAGAGAATAAAAGCAGCTTATTTTAACAGAGAAAACATTTAACGTAAAAAAAAAACAAAACAAAACAAAAAAAATATTAAAACGATTTGGTGAGCCTTACACTCCGAGTAAAAAGGAAAAATCAACGTGATTACCATATATAGATTTTTTTTCTCTTAATTCAATCAAAAATATTAATTTACCCCAAAACATAAAGAATTTAGATTTAGTAAAATTCACACCAAATTCTCCTACAGCTAGGCTTTTAGATTGTGCTCCGGTTGGCTTGTACTTTACTATCTCCCCCAAATATAAACGATGCGGTTCCGCTACTCTAAGTGTGGGATTTACGTTCGCGCTCACACCGATAAACAAACGAAACAGATATTTTCTTCTTTATTTTTTCAAATTGTAAAAAGATCATTATAAGAAAATATCTAATATCATCCGAACTTAAGAAACGTGAATAATTCCCTTATATCTGATCATTTTTTTAAATTTTATTTTGAGGGTAGGAGTTGTTATAAAGGCATGATAAAAATAATTGATTTAAAATGTATCATTGTAAAAAAAAGAGTTCCAAAATTTTTAGCAAAAATGAAAAAAACAATCTTTGATTTGAAATTTATAATTACTTAGGTTGAATTAATATTTTCGATAAGTACCTTTACAATATTTGAGGTGAAGTAATAAAAAAGATCTACATTTATTATTATGGTATTTTCACCTGAAATTCAGTAACAACAATCAAATAATTTTCAACCAATAGAAAGACGAAGAGCCACTCAAATTGGAAGACTACTGAATGGGGTTTGTGATATCAACATAAACGGGAAAAGTGATTATTAAGACGGAATAGCGAATATATAAAGATTGATTTTAGACATGAAGAATCTAATATTGTAGTGTCATTGGAAGTATCCTTGTGGGAATCTGTTCTCCAAACCTTAAGAATGTTCCGGAGTGGTACACCATTCTTACCAAAGCAACACGTAAAGAATGCAGATTGCAGAAGCAAGTTATGTTTTGGGTGAAATGGTCTGATGTAATGGCGCGAAAAGTTCGAAAATTGTATGCTATTCAGGTAAGATTTAGTTCCGATTCGGACTAAAGTCTGTTGATATTTTCCCCAGTTCTCTTTAACACAGACACAAAGCAACATGAAGATAGAATCTAGTTTGATATTTACGGTCAACGAGATCAGGTTCTAAAACATTGCACTACCCTGAAGAAGCCTAGATAGAAGATTATTGTAATAAATATATTTTTTATTTTATAAAGAATAAATATGATCGACGACAATTTTCTCTAAGGATATATATATATATATATATATATATATATATATATATATATATATATATATATACGTGCGTGTGCGTGTCTGTGTGTGTAAAATGGCTGAAAGCGCTTGGAACAATAGACAAGACGGAAAAATGTTACACCTCCTTAACTCCTCAAATGGAACGATTTAAGAATATAGGAAAAACTCAATAAAAATTTTTTTATTGTCTTTCATATCCAACGAAAATGTGTTTGAAAGAAAGTTTGCTCAAATATGCACTATATATATATATATATATATATATATATGTGTGTGTGTGTGTATATATATATGTGTGTGTGTAAAGAAATAAAGAAAGTGTATAGATTTTTTTATTAATCCGATAGATTTTATTGCTTAAACATCATTTGTTTTCTAAATAAAACGCGCACCTACACAAATACGAATATCCACTAAAAGTAACGTTTATGTGATATATATATATATATATATATATATATATATATATATATATATATAGCCTGGCGATTGCGTTTAAGCATGAAACAGACTGACTCCCTGTGTAGATCCCAATGTCCATTTTTTCATTTACTTACGCTCTATCCGGGATATCGAGGACTCATAAATACATCATGCCTTAAAATTATATTTTTATCATATAAGCATTTCAAATCGACCGCAACCCTAATGTCGTCACCCTCGCAATTTGTATCATGGAATGGTCTGATAACTCATACCTAAACAGATGACCGCTAAGAGAATCTTTCAAACATGTGGACTGAAAGTGTACATTTTTTTAGCCTAGAAGGCACCATTCAATTAAAAAAAAAAATTGAAGGCCATATTATTTTGATAAAAATTATTAACTTTGGATATTGATATTTGGAATAAGATCTTACTCAACGATGAAAATATACTGGAGTATAATTGTAAAAAGCTAGATAATTTCCGAAGACCCAGAGCAAACGACGCTCTATAAATGACAAAAACGTGACGTTTTTCAGTACTGTTTCTCAGCCTTTTTAAGCAACGACAGAGCTCGTTGCCGTAACTACCTCTGGCGCAGCAAATTCTTTTTCAAATATCATTTTCTGTTGTACTATTTTTTTAATCGTTTTATCCTAAGCAAGGTAGAAATCCCACTATTAAGTAGGGGGTCACAGAAAGTGAAATTGAATGTGAAGACTGAGTGTAGGTAAGATTGAGGAAAGCACAAAAGATGAACTAGATTAAAAAATACAGAAGATAGTCATTGGCGTTGCCTTTAAATTTTTTCAAGAATGTAAACTAGGTTCCCTAGGTGGGAATTACGAGAAAAGAAACTGTTGGCGTAGAATTTGTCGGTGGCATTTCATTATTCCAACAGTATAACGATTGAGACCGAAGAATTCATGCAAAGTATTGTCGGTGGTTACTTTTATCATAAGGAAGCGTTCACAGATTATAGGCAAAGGTTGGAAAGTACCAGGAAGGAAAACCTTGGCTAAAACTGCTGATTTAGATAAGTCCATTATCTCTATTGGAAAAAAAATCCTACAGACAATACAAAAAGGAAACAGGAATAATGAATGATCTATCAATTGTGAGAAGACAGAAGCTATAGTCGTTATTAAGAAAAAACCGCAAAAGAATCGAGCTACGAATTAAAACATAAAAATCAAGCAAATACATTAATTTAACTGGTATGTGTTTTAAAAGACGATGTAAAATGAAGGCTGAACTCCGAAGACGAATTTAAAAAGTGCATTATGTCTTTCAAAAGAAAGTATTATAAATTAGGAGAAAAAGAAAGAAAACAGAAATCTTATGTAATGGCGATCCTCATGCAAGTCATTGACTGCTGGATTCACAGATGAATAAGAGACATGTGGCAACAGATGTGGGATTCTTCAGTGTGAGCAAACAGGAAGTTTCACATAAAACTGAAATAAAATGGACGCTTGGATTTAGAAAGAGAAAGTTAAATTTTATCTATCCAAATATGTAAGATGATGCATCAATCAGATCTCAACCTGCATCGTACTTATTAACTGATGTTTGATTTGAAAGGTTAATGTTTTCACACCACACTTTATCAAGATAATGTTGAATATCATAATACTTAATCAAGAAGATTTATGTTGAAAATTAAATGTTAGTTGTGTAAAATAAATGTTTCATTGTCATTGGGCTGCTGATTAATGATGTACGCATTTAGGCTCCTTTTATTGGAGGCTCGTCAGTATTAATTAACCAGTGGGCAGATGTCAGGCTGAGAAGACGGTCGCCATTTTTAACTTTAATTCCAGACTCACACGCATTGAAAATTTAAACTCTTTATCTTGTAATATATTGAAATACAGTGCTGTTCGATAAAAGTGACTCACCTGATTTTTTTGCTAAATGTTCTCTTCTCCGATGAAACGAAAGTTGAGATAAATTCAAAGGATAATCGATCTAAAATCCGAAGAAGAAGCTTTGAAAGCTCTTTGAATTTAGCAGTAAGAACTGACAAGCATCTCTTCAGTATAATGTTCTGGGGATGCTTTTCTTTTCATGGAACTGTTTTCTTAAAACCTATTGAAAAGACCCTCAGGAGCGAGCAGTACAAGAGAATTTTAGAGTCTTGCCTGCTCCCTTCTGTTGAAAGGGTGAAAATCGACACCAACAAGCTCATTTTTATGCAGGATAATGTTCCCTGTCGCAAATCAAAATTGATGAAGGAATACTTTGATGAGAAGTAAGTGAGTGTTAAGACATGGCCGCCACAATCTCCTGACCTCAACCCCATAGAAAACTTATGGATCGTTATAAATTACAGGCTCTCGAGAAATCAGTTGAGCAACAAAGAGGATTTGAGTGTGAATTTCATATCCGAATGGAATTCAATGCTTGGAGAATAAATTTATCCGGAACCTAATCAAGTCAATG